GTTTCTCCCTCTCCCACTCCCCCTGCTTGTGTTCCCTCTCTCGCTGTGTCTCTCTCTGTCAAATAAATAAATAAAATCTTAAAAAAAAAAAAAAAAATTCTCTCCCTCTCCCTTTGCTCCTCCCCGCTCCCCACCCCCTGTGTCTCTCTCTCTCTCCCCACCAAAAAATTAATTAATTAATTAAAATGAAAGTACCCCATGTTGGAGCAGTCGACTAGACAAGTGCTTAAGAGTCCTGGGAGTCACCCAGCACAAGTGACACCCGCTTCTCTCTTTCTGACTGACCCTCACCCCCCCCCACTCCCAGCTGTTAAAGATCTGTTCCTTTCGGCTGTCACTGAAGTACCTAAGTTGACAACAGAGACTGCTTCCTCTCTCTCACCATCCCCACGTCCCCACAAAGCCCTGGCCAAGGGTCCTTCTGAAAACCTTTCTGGAATTCACTTCCCTTGGCTCTGCTTTTGGGGTCAGGTCTTCCCTCCTCCAATTTCTTCCCCTTAAAGTCACCTTCCCCACAGGAGTCTGAGTGATGTTTCTTTCTTTCTTTTTAAGATTTTATTTATTTATTCAGGAGAGAGAGAGAGAACGTATGCGAGCATGGGAGTGGGGGTGGAGGCAGAGGGAGCAAGGGAAGAGAGGAGCAGACTCCCCACTGAGCAGGGAGCCAGACAGAACAACGCGGGACTCCATCTCAGGACCCTGGGATCGTGACCTGAGCCAAATGCAGATGCTTAACCGACTGAGCCACCCAGGCACACCCCCCAGTGATCTTCCTAAAGAAAGATCTGCCCCTCCCCTACCCAGTGTCCCTGTCACCCTTCCTTCCTTAGGGCATCTTGCCTGAGCGTCCTTTGCAGCTGGGAGCGCACACAGCTGTGTCCAGACTGGCCTCTTTTCAGGCTGGCAATGGCTCCGGGCCTCTGGACTTTCCCCAGTTGTCTCTGACCTCAGCCAGGATACACTGACTGTAAGAGCTCTGATTAATACGGAGGGTAATTTCCCCCCTCTGCTCTTCAGACTTCCTTCCTGCCCTCTTGCAGGCCCCACCCATTCAAGGCTCCATTAGCTTGTCAGAGTATTCATTCCTGTTTTCAGTCATCTTTGTTAATTTATTAGTTATAGGATTCACACATTCAACATTCATCAAAACCTAGAGAAGCTCATCTCTAAAGGGGATCTGAATTTTTGAGGTACCCCAAATAGTTGTTAGGATGAAGCTAGCTTGAGGGGCATGAGGTGCAGTAGGGAAGAACCCAGGCTTTAGGGAACTGAAACCCTATTCTCATCAAGCAACAATACCCCATGTCCTCCTCTCCCCAGTCCCTGGCAAGCATCATTCAACTTTCTGTATCTATGAAGAGACTACTCTAGATATTTCATATAAGTGGGAATCACACAGTATTTGTCTTTTTGTCACTCACTTATTTCACTTAGCATAATGTCCTCAAGGTTCATCCATGTGTCAGAATTTCATTTCTTTTTAATAACTGAATATTTCATTGTATGTATCTGCTGCATTTTGTTTATCCATTCATCCACTGAAGGACCCTGGGTTTTTTTCACCTCTTGACTATTGTGAAGAAGGCGTACAATTATCTTTTGAGGACCCTGCTTTCAATTCTTTTGCGTATATATCCAGATGTGGAATAGCTGGATCATATCATAATTCCATTTTTGAGGAACTGCCATAATATTTGCTGTAACGATTGTACAATTTTACATTCCCACCAACAGTTTACAAAGGTTCCGATTTCTCCTCATCCTCACCAACGCTTGTTATTTCCTGTTGGCTTTTTGTATCTTAATAAAAGCCATCCTAGTGGGTGTGAGGTAATATCCCATTGTGGTTTTGATCTGCATTTCCCTGATGATGAGTGATGTTGAATATCTGTTCATAGGCTTGTTGATCATTTGTAGACCTTCTTTGAAGAAACGTCTACCCAAGCTGTTTGCCCATTTTTAAATTGTATTATACATCTTTTTATTGTTGTGGGAGCTCTCTAGTTCTCTCCATATTCTGGACTAACCCCTTATCAGATGTATGAGTGGCAAATCTTTTCTCCCATTCCATAGGCTGCTTTTTCACTCTGTTAACTGTCCTTGGGTGTGCATAGTTTCCATTTTGATGCAGTCCAATTTATCTATTTTTTCTTCCGTTGCTTTGCTTTGGCTGTCATATCCAAGAAATCATTGCCTCCTACAATGCCATGAAACTCTTCCCCTGTTTTTTTAAAGGAGTTTTATAGTTTTAGCTCCTACAATTAGGTCTTTGGTCATTGTGAGTCAATTTTCATATAAGGTATAAAATGAGGGTCCAACTTTATTTTTTTGCATGTGAATATCCAGTTGTATCCCAGCACCATATATTGAAAAGACTATTCTTTCCCTCATTGAATTGTCTTGGCACAATTCAATTTGTCAAAAATCTGGACTCTCAGTTCTATTTCACTGACTTACATATCTACCTTTATGCTACTATCACACTGTTTTGATTGTTGTAGCTTTGTAGTAGGTTTTGAAACCAAAAAGTGTGAGTCCTCTAATTTTGTTTTGTTTTGTTTTTTCAAGATTGTTTTGGCCTTGTCCATAACATTACGTGTCCATATGGATTTTAGGATCACATTGTCAATTTCTCCTAAAAAGCCAGCAGGGATTTAGATAAGGATTGAGTTGAATCTGTAGATCAGTTTGGGGAGTAATACCCTCTTAATAGTATTAGGTCTCCTGATGAACATGGGATATCTTTCCATTTATTTAGTTCTTTCAATAATGTTTTATAGTTTTCCTACACAAGTCTTTTACTTTGTTAAATTCACTTCTGTGGGGCACCTGGGTGGCTCAGTCGTTAAGCATCTGCCTTCGGCTCAGGCATGGTCCCAGGGCCCTGGGATCGAGCCCCACATTGGACTCCCTGCTCTGCGGGAAGCCTGCTTCTCCCTCTCTCACTCCGTTTGTGTTCCCACTCACGCTGTCTCTCTCTCTGTCAAATAAATAAATAAAATCTGTTTTAAAAATTCACTTCTATATATCTTCTTTTTTATGCTATTGTGAATGGAATTATATTCTTAAATTCATTTTTATATTGTTCATTGCTAGTGTATAGAAACACAACTGATTTTTGTATATTGATCTGGTATCCTGTAAATTTGCTAAACTCACTTATTAGTAATAATAATGTTTTTGTGGATTCCTTATGATTTTCTATATACAGTGTCATATCATCTGTAACTAGAAAGTTTTACTTCTTCCTGAGAACTGCTTCCTAGATGAGCAGCCTTTGAGGGATGCCTCTGACAACCCTGTCAGGTCAGGACTTGTGACGGAGCTTCTCCCTGCAGCCACTAGGCATCTTTTTAACCAAGCTGTGGACCAAATGGAAACAATAACGCTTTTTGCAGCAGAGGAAGGAAGGATGGAAGGAGGGAAGGAAGGAAAGAAAAAATAGTTTTACTTCTTGCTTTCCAATCTGAATGCCTTTATTCCTTTTTATTGACTAATAGTCTTAGCTACAAATTTTTCTTCTTTTTTTTTTTTTTTAAAGATTTTATTTATTTGACGGAGAGAGACACAGCGGGATAGGGAACACAAGCAGGGGGAGTGGGAGAGGGAGAAGCAGGCTTCCTGCTGAGCAGGGAGCCCAATGCGGGGCTCAATGCAGGGTTCAATGTGGGGCTCGATCCCAGGACCCTGGGATCGTGACCTAAGCCGAAGGCAGAGGCTTAACGACTGAGCCACCCAGGTGCCCCGCTACAACTTTTTCTTAAAATAATCTCTATACCCAAAGTGGGGTTCGAACTCATCACCCTGAGATCAAGCTTTGCAAGCTCCACTGACTGAGCCAGCCAGGCGCCCCCTAGCTACAACTTTTGTATAAGGTTGAATAGCCATGATGAGCATGGATATACTTGCTTATTACTGATATTAGTGGGAAAGGTTTTTGGCATTGACTATGATGTTATCTGTGAGTTTTTCACAGATGACCTTTATCAGGTTGTGGGAATTCCCTTCTATTCCTAGTTTGTTCCATGCTGGGTTTTGTTTTGTTTTGAATGGATTTTGTCAAATGATGTTTCAACTGAGGCAATCATGTGGGTTTTGTCCTCTATTCTAGTAATATGATATTTTATTTATTTATTTATTAAATTTATTTATTTATTTATTTATTTGACAGAGAGAGACACAGCGAGAGAGGGAACACAAGCAGGGGGCGTGGGAGAGGGAGAAGCAGGCTCCCCGCTGAGCAGGGAGCCCGATGCAGGGCTCGATCCCAGGACCCTGGGTCATGACCTGAGCTGAAGGCAGACGCTTAACGACTGAGCCACCCAGGCGCCCCTAGTAATATGATATTTTAAATCAATTGATATTTGGATACTAAACCAACTTGTATTCTGGGATTAATCCTGCTTGGTCATGATGTATAATCCTTTTTATATGTGGCTGGATTCAGTTTGCGAGTATTTTGTTGAGATGATTTACGTCTTTCTCCATGAGGGATATTGGTCTATAGTTTTCTTGTGATGTCTTTGTCTGATTTTGTATCAGAAGAATATTGGTCTCATAGAATGAGTTGGGAAGTGTTTCCTCCTCTTATTTTTTGAGAGAGTTTGTGACAAATTGGTTTAATTATTCTTTAAACATTTGGTAGAAAGAACCACTGAGATAGTGAGAGCCTGAACTTTGGTTTGTGGGAAGTTTCAAAATTATAAATTCAATCTTTTTGCTTGTTACAGGTATATTTAGATTTTTTACTTCTTCTTATGTCATCTTTGGTCATTTGTGTCTTTCTAGGAATTTGGCCATTTCATTTATGGCACCTAATTTATTGGCATACAATTGTTGAGAGTATTCTCTTACAATGCTTTTTATTTATGTAGGGGCAATAGCGTTGTCTCATCTTTTATTGCTGATATTAGTAATTTGATTCTTCTTTTTTTCTTGGTCAATCTACATAATGGTTTATTGGTTTTGTTGATCTTCTCAAAGAACTCACTTCTGGGGATGCCTGGCTGGCTCAGTCGGTAGAGCATGTGACTCTCGATCTTGGAATCATGAGTTCGAATCCCATGTTGGGCATAGATCCTACTTTAAAATTAATTAATTAATTAATTATTTTTTTTAAAACCCAAAGAACCAACTTTTGGTTTCATGGATTTTCTCTATTGTTTTTCTATCTTCTGTTCCATTTATTTTTGCTTTCCTCTTTATTATGTCCTCCCCTTTGCTCATTTTGGGTTTATTTTGCTCTTTTTTGTTTTTTAAGGTAGTAGGTTAGGTTATTGATTTAAAATCTTTCTTCCTTTTTAATATAGCCCTTGATAGCTCTAAATTTCCTTCAAAGCAGTGTTTTAGTTTCAACCGTAAGTTTTGTTATTTTTCATTTTCATTTCATTCATCTTATTTTCTGATATCTCTTGTGATTTATTTCATTCATTATTTAGGAGTGTGTTGTTTAATTTATACATATTTGTGAATTTTCTGAAACTTTTATTGGGGTGCCTGGGTAGCTCAGTCATTAAGGGTCTGCCTTCGGCTTGGGTCATGATCCCAGGGTCCTGGGATCAAGCCATGCATCCGGCTCCCTGCTCAGTGGGAAGCCTGCTTCTCCCTCTCCCACTCCCCCTGCTTGTGTTCCCTCTCCTTCTTTGTCTCTGTCAAATAAATAAATAAAATCTTAAAAAAAAAACTTCCTGTTATTGATTTTTAATTTCATTCCTTTGTGGTCAGAAAATATACTTTGTATTTCAGTTCTTTTAAATGTATTGGTGCCTTTTTCATGGCCTAACATAGGATATCCCATATGCACTTGAGAAGAATGTATATTCTCTGTTGTTTGCTGGTGTGTTCTATAGATCTCTGCTAGATCTTGCTGGTTTCTCATGTTGTACAAGTCTACTTCTCTGTTGACCTTCCGCCTAGTTATTCTATTAATGATTGGTAGGGGTTATTGAAATTTCTTTTTTTTTTTTTAAGATTTTTATTTATTTATTGAGGGAGAGAGTGATAGAGAGAGAGCATGAGAAGGGGAGAGTCAGAGGGAGAAGCAGACTCCCTGCCGAGCAGGGAGCCCGATGCGGGACTCGATCCTGGGACTCCAGGATCATGACCTGAGCCGAAGGCAGTCGCTTAAACAACTGAGCCACCCAGGCACCCGGGTTATTGAAATTTCTAACTGCTGTTTTTGTTTTTTTTTTTTAAGATTTTATTTATTTATTTGACAGCGAGAGACACAGCGAGAGAGGGAACACAAGCAGGGGGAGTGGGAGAGGGAGAAGCAGGCTCCCCGCGGAGCAGGGAGCCTGATTCGGGGCTTGATCCCAGGACCCTGGGATCATGACCTGAGCCGAAGGCAGACGCTTAACGACTGAACCACCCAGGCGACCCTGCTGTTATTTTTTTTTTAAGTAATTTCTCTGCCCATGGGGCTCAAACTCATGATCCTTTGTAAGCTCAAGAGTCATATGCTCTACTGACTGAGCCAGCCATGCACCCCTTCCAACTGCTATTTTTGAATTAAGTATTTATCTATCCAACTCTGTTAGTTTTTACTTCATATATTTTGAGATTCTGTTATTAGGTGCATTTATGTTTATAATTGTTATGTGTTCCTGATGGATTAACCCTTTATCATTATAAAAAATTTATTTTTTTATATTTTATATATATTACATATAAAATATAAATGTATATATATTATATATATAATTTATCAGCATAAAAAATATAGCTTTGCCTCTTAACAATTTTGTCTTAAATTCTATTTGCCCAATATCATTATAGCCACTCCAGCTATCCTTTAGGGTTTTTTTGCATGATATATCTTTTTTATCCTTTTAAGTTCAGCCTTTTTGGGTCTGTGAATCTAAAGTGTAAGTCATGTAAAGAGTGTATAGTTGGGCGATGATTTTTTATCTGCCAATCTTTGCATTTTCATTGGGGAATTCAATCCATTTATATATAGTTACTAATAATATAGGTTTTACAGCTGCAATTTTATTTGTTTTATATATATATTTTTAAAGATTTTATTTTTTTTAAAGATTTTATTTATTTATTTGAGAGAGAGAGATTGAGAGATAGAGAGCACGAGAGGGAAGAGGGTCAGAGGGAGAAACAGACTCCCTGCAGAGCAGGGAGCCCGATGTGGAACTCGATCCCAGGACTCCAGGATCATGACCTGAGCCGAAGGCAGTCGCTTAACCAACTGAGCCACCCAGGCTTTAGGGCACCCAGGCGCCCTAAAGATTTTATTTTTAAGTAATCTCTACACCCAACATGGGACTTGAATTTACAACCCGGAGATCAGGAGTCACGTGCTCTACTGACTGAGTCAGCCAGATGCCCCTATATATGTATTTTGGTTTTTTTGTCCCTCTATTTTTCCATTACTTTCTTCTTTTGTGTTTAATAGATATTTTCAAGTGTACCATTTTAATTCCCTTGTTTCTTTTACTATATTTTTATAGTTTTTTTCTTAATAGTTGCTCTGGGGTTACAATTAACAATCTGGTTATACAATTATAACAATCTGGTTCAGATTAATACTGAGTTTCAATAGTGTTCAAAACTTTACTCCAATATAGCTTCATTCCTTCCCCTACTCCTTTATACTTTGTATTATTGTCATACAAATTTCATCTTTATACATTATAAACATATCAACACCGTTTTATAGTTATTATTTCATGAAGCTGTCTTTTCCCATTAAATAGGATCAGGAAAGAGTTACAACATAAAAACATTTATACCATATTTTATATTTCTCTAGGTAGTAACTTTTACTGGTGCTTTTTATTTCTTCATGTGGATTCAAGTTACTGCCTTGTGTTCTTTCATTTTGGCCTGAAGGACAACCTTTAGTATTTCTTGTAGGGAAAGTTTGCTAGTGACAAAATCTCCCCGCTTTGGTTTATTTGGGTATATGTCTTAATTTCTCCTTCACTTTGCAGAATAGTTTTTTGGTTACAAAATTCTGGGTTGACAGTCTTTTCCTTTCATTTTTTTGAATGTCGTCCCACTGCATTCTGGACTTCATATGGTTTTTCTAATGAGACATTAACAATTGATCCTATTGAGGATCCTTTGTAAATGATGAGTCATTTCTCTATTGCTGCTTTCAAGATTCTCTGTTTATATTTCAATAGTTTGACTCTAGTGTGTTTAACTGTGAATTTTTTTGAGTTTCTCTTACTTGGAAGTCATTGAACTTAGACGTGTAGATTAATTTTTTATATAAAATTTGGCCTTGAAATCAAGGTTTTGGCCTTAATTTATCCAAATATTATTTAGGTATTTATTCTCTCTCTGCTCCTTCTAGGACTCTCATTGTGCGTATTTTAGTATGCTTAATGGTATTCCCACAGGTCCCTGTGTTTCTGTTTATTTTTCTTCCTTAAGTTTGTTCTTTTTTTTTTTAAGATTTTATTTTCTTAAGTAATCTCTGCACCCAATGTGGGGCTCAAACTGAGCCCCTGAGATTGAGAGTCTCATATTCCACCGACTGAGCCGGCCACGTGCCCCTTATTCTGTTTGTTCTTAAAAATGGACAATTTCTATTTTCAAGTCTGTAGGTTCTTTCTTCTATCGCTTCAGATCTGCTGCTGAGCACCTCTAGTATTTAAATTCAGACTTTATTTTTTTCTTTAAAAAGCAGCTTACGGTTCCTGACAAAATTGAGGGGAAGGTATAAGGATTTCCCATATACCCTCTGCCTCCAAACATGCATAGCTTCCTCCATTATAACATCCCAAACCAGAGTAGTACATTTGTTATAATTGATAAGCCTATACTGACACATCTGAATCATCTGAAGTCCATAGTTTAGATTACAGTTCACTCTTGGTGTTGTACATTCTTTAGGTGTGGACAAATGGCTGACATATGTCATTATCATATAGAGTATTTTCATTGCCTAAAAATACCCTCTGCTCTGGGGCGCCTGGCTGACTCAGTCAATAGAGCATGGGACTCTTGATCTCAGGGTTGTAAATTTGAGCCCCACGTTGGGAATAGAGATTATTTAAAAAAAAAAAAAAAAAACTTAAAAAAAAAGGATACCCTCTGCTCTGCATATTTATCCCTCCTTCTCCCCAGCTCCCAGCAACCACTGATCTTTATAATGTCTCTCCATAGTTTTTGCCTTTTCCAGAAATTCATATAGTTGGAATCATATAGTATATAATCTTTCCACATTGGCTTCTTTAACTTAGTAATATGCATTTAAGGGTCCTCCGTCTCTTGGGGCACCTGGGTGGCTTAGTGGCTTAAGCGGCTGACTCTTGGCTTCAGTTCAGGTCTTGATCTCATGGTCGTGACATCAAGCCCTCCATCGGGCTCTGTGCTCAGTGCAGAATCTGCTTCAGATTTTCTCTCCCCCTCTTTCCAGCTCTCTCTCTCTCCCTCAAATAAAAACATAAAATCTTTTTTAAAAAGTTTCGTTCATCTCTTTTCATAGCTTGATAGTTCATTTCTTTTTTTTTTTTAAGATTTTATTTATTTACTTGGGAGAGACAGAGAGAGAGCACAGAGGGAGAGTGAAAGGGAGAAGCAGACTCCCCACTGAAGAGGGAGCCCGATGTGGGGCTTGATCCCAGGACCCTGGGATCATGACCCGAGCAGAAGGCAGGCGCTCAACCCACTGAGCCACCCAGGCGCCCCAGTTCATTTATTTTTTAGTGCTGAATAAAATTCCATAGTCTGGATGTACCACAGCTCATTTATCCATTCACCTATTAAAGGACATCTTGATTGCTTCAACATTTGGCAATTATGAATAAAGCTGCTATAAGTATCCATGTACAGATTTTTTTTTAAAGATTTTATTTATTTGACAGAGACACAGCGAGAGGGGGAACACAAGCAGGGGGAGTGGGAGAGGGAGAAGCAGGCTTCCCGCGGAGCAGGGAGCCCAATGCGGGGCTCGATCCCAGGACCATGATCTGACCTGAAGGCAGATGCTAAATGACTGTGCCACCCAGGCGCCCCCCATGTGCAGATTTTTATGTGGACATAAGTTTTCAACTCCTTCGGGGAAATATCAGATTGTATGGTAAAAATATGTTTAATTTTGTTAAGAA